CTTATTGAACAAGAATGTCATGGAATTTAATTTTTCATAGCTCAAAATTCTTTCTCATCAAACTTTTCAACCTCAAACTGGTTACTTGCCATTTTACCATTTTCTTTTTCTCAAACAATTTCACAAACACCTTGTGTGTCAAACCTCGAAGTTCTGAATACATTGTTAATCCTTGTTCCTAGTAATCGACTACTTCATAAAGAGATTTCCTAGTAATTGACTACTATCAAGATCTGATTCCTAGTATTTGACTACTATACAAGAGATTTCGTAGCAGTCGACTACTATTTCAACAAAGCACAGAATAACCCAATCCCAACAAATATCCAACAACACAAAAGGCAAATCAGAAGTTTAAGTAAAGGAAAGCAAAAGGAATAAGTAATCACAAGGAGAGACAAAAGATTTATGAGGTTCACCCAATGAGGGCTACATCCACGGGCAAAGCCAGCAAGCCATTGATTTACTATCATAAAATGGTTTCAAGAGATTGTGTAAAACACCTCTTTATTATTGTTGTGAAATACCCCACATATACAAACCCCTTTTGTAACTTAAACATAGAGTATCATCACCTCTACATTGTCACCACAAACTTGGAAGACCATCATGAAGAAAGCCAAAAATAGTATAATACACCCTTTTTAAGAAAAAGGTTGTAGAGACAACCACCACACCTAAGTGTATCTTGCAAACACAAAGAAGCTTTCTATCGTTCCTTCTTTTCTGCTACTCTTTCTTTGTCTCTCAAAAGGCCCTCTAAAAATAAAGGAAACCCTACTAAGGATATATTCCCTCCTTAGTTCTTATTCCCACATAGCTCAAACTAAGAAATACCAAAAAGGTCCTTCCAAATAAAGAAAACACCACTTAAGTGCATGGAAATAACATGGTGATTTTTTTATCACACATACAACATTCTTCTTCTTCTTTCTCCTTTCTTCTCTTCTCTCCCTTGTTGTGACCTGCAACCTACTTGATGTTTCCTCTCTTAGGGTTTTCAAAGTTGAAAATACAATTGCATAATTTGAAAATTTAAAGAACAATGAAGGATATTTTTGTCCTTTACTTATTATTTATTAGAACTAACAATGAAAATGTGGACAAAGTATATATAAGTAGGTTTTGAAGTAATTATTCCTTTATAGAAACATGTTCATGGGCTAGGCTTGGGCATAGCTTTTGCTAAAAGTAATGTTAATTGTTCAAGGGACGAGCCCAAAGCTAGGCCCATGGACCGATGTAAATACAAAAGCATTGTTTGGCCTAGTTTACAAAGATAGGCCCACTAACAATAATTTGGCCTAGTTTACAAAGAACAGATTAGCTGAATGCGATAGCAATTTAGCAGGCTGTGTAACCAATGATAAAACTCCACACCAGTAATAAAATACAAGGGACCCATAACCATTTAACTTTTCACCGTAGGCCCCATTTAGGCCCCATGTATTTTATCAGTAGCATGGGGCCTTATCATTGGTTCCACAACTTGTCCAACAACCATTGCATTAAACTAATCCCAATTCCACTTCACGGCAATGTATAGAGACTTGAGCAATAATAATTAATGGAGATTACTAGTGCTGTTAACTCCATATTGGAACCTGTACAATTTACCAAAT